GCGAAGATGCAGGGTAACCAACCATTGTGGAAAGCAATATGGAGGTTCCTCAAAAAACTAAAAATAGAAATACCATTTGACCCAGGAATCCCACTCCTTGGTTTACCCAAAGAATACAAGTTCTCAGATTCAAAAAGACATATGCTCCCCTATGTTTATCAGCACTATTATGGAAGCAACCTAAGTGTCCATCAGTAGATGAATGGATAAAGAAGGTGTGATACATATACACAATGAAATACTATTCAGCCATAAGAAAGAAACAAATCCTACCTCAACAACATTGATGGAGCTGGAGGATATCATGCTCAGTGAAATAAGCCAGGCAGAGAAAGACAAATGCCAAATGATTTCTCTCATTTGTGGAGTATAACAACGAAGCAAAACTGAAGGAACAAAACAGCAGCAAGATCACAGACTCCAAGAAGGGACTAGTGGTTACCAAAGGGGAGGGGTGTGGTAGGGCAGGTGGGGAGGGAGGGAGAAGGGGACTGAGGGGTATTATGTTTTTAGTACACATGGTGTGGGGATCACGGGGAAGACAGTGTAGCACAGAGAAGGCAAATAGGGACTCTGTGGCATCTTACTACACTGATGGACAGTGACTGCAGTGGGGTATGGGGGGTACTTGATAATATGGTTGAATGTAGTAACCACATTGTTTTTCATATGAAAACTTCATAAGAATGTATATCAATAATACCTTAAAAAATAAAGTAAAACACTTTTAACAGTAACTAGACAAAGTAAACATGTAATAACTTTTGCTATTATTATTATATTTTCATAATGTGATGAAAACTACCAGAAACCAAAGGCAAACATTGTACTTGTAGTGGTTTCCCCATAAGAGGAAGATGACACTATGACCCCCCATAAAAGCAATCATCCAGAGCTAAAAAAGTATGCAAATGTTACATACAGATGTATTATATTAAATACTTTATATTATATATATATATAGCATGACACAACTGAAGTGAGTAGTACAAGGTATTTAACATACATGTGGTTACTTGAAATCATGGGAGAAGAATCAGTGACCCCCTGTGTCTGTAACATTGTGCTAGGGATGCTGGTGAGATATGATTAAGACTCAGAATTTCCCATCCAAGTAAAAGTAGTGGAGGCAACTGTATATACCAGGCAGACTATGGTTAGCCTGTAACACAAGTCTAAAGTGCTGAATGGGTAAGAAATGCCGCTTTTTGGTGTTGGGTAAGTCATTTTGTTCCATCCCATCCACAAACCTGTAGCATGGGTATTGGTATTATCACTTCACAGCAAATATATTAAGCATCAAAAAGGTTAAAAAAGTTACCCATGGCCACAAAATACTTAAAAGGTGGAATCCATGCTGCGCTGCCATCCAATAAATGAAAGACAGTAAATCCAAATGGCAGACTGGTAAGGCTTTTTAGAGAACTAGGACTCAATGAATAGGAGTCCCAGGAACAAAACTGGAGCAGAGGTGGTATAATTTCAGACAAAGAAAACAATCTGAAACAAAGCAACAAAGTGGGAAAGAGCAAGCATGTTCAGGGAATGGCAACCAGGCTTATAGATACAACACTGGCTGTAGAACAGGATGTCAGCAAACAGCTGGAAGCAGTGCCACAGTGGTGGTAGGGCAAAGGCTCTGGAATCAAAATACACCTGGTCTGAATCCTGGATCTACTTAGTAGTTGTGTTACCTTGGCAAGTTACTCAACCCCACTGAGGCTCAGTTTCCTCAACTAAAAAATGAAGTAATACCATCTACCTCACAGGGTTGCTCTAAGTATTAAATGAGATCACCATAATAAGTTTAAAGAGGTAAAAGGCCTATAAACTGAATACTGTTAAGATACTGATGAAGGAAATTGAGGATGACACAAATAAATGGAAAGATATTCTATGAAGATGGATACGAAGAATTAATATTGTTGAAATGGCCATACTACCCAAAGCAATCTACATTTATTACAATCCCTATCAAAATCCCAATGGCATTCTTCACAGAACTAGTGCAGATAAACCTCAAATTTGTATGGAACCATATAAGACCCTGAATAGACAAAGCAAACTTGAGAAAGAACAGAGCTGAGAGTATCATGCTCCCTGATTTCAAACTATACTACAAAGTACAGTAAAAATCAAACCAGTATGGTACTGGCACAAAAACAGACACAGAGATCAGTGGAACAGAACTGAGAGTCCAGAAATGAACCTATGCTTATATGGTCAATTAATAAATAACAAAAGAGGCAAGAATATGGAACAGAAAAGAAAGCCCAGAAATAAACCCATGCTTATGTAGTCAGTTAATATATGACAAAGAAGGCAAGAATATACAATGGGGAAAAGACAGTGTCTTCAATAAACAGTATTGAGAAAACTGGACAGCTACATGCAAAACAAAGCAATGGGATATGGTCTTAAACCATACACAAAAATAAACTCAAATTGGATTAAAGACTTAAATATAATCCCTGAAATCATAAAACTCCTAAACATAGGCAGTAAATTCTACAACAATGATATTAGTAATTTTTTTCTGGATATTTCTCCCCAGACAAGGGAAACAAAGCACAAACAGGTGGGACTACATAAAATTAAATAACTTCAGCACATTAAAAGACACCATCAATAAAATGAAAAGGTAACCTACTGAATGGGAAAATATATTTGCAAATGATCTAGCCAACAAAGGGTTAATATCTAAAATGCATAAAGAACTCATATAGCTCAACATTCATATGATCCAGTAATTCCACCTCTGGGTATTTATCTGAAGAAAATGAAAACACTAACTCAAAAAGATATATGCACCCCCATCATCACTGCAGTATTATGTACAACAGCCAAGATACAGAAACAACCTAAGTGTCCACTAAAAGATGGATAAAGATGGATATGTGTGTGTGTGTGTGTATATATTATATCTGCACACATTAAACAGAATGAAATCTCGCCACTTGTGACATGGATGGACCTTGAGGGCATTATGCTAAGTGAAGTCTAACAGAGAAAGACAAATACCATATGATCTCACTTATATATGGAATCTAAAACAACAATAACAACAAAAACCAAGCTTACAGGTACAGAGAACAGATTTTCTTTTAATTAATGAGGTGACAATGTGGCCATGTGACAATGTGCTTGGCCAATCAATTGGTCTTGCTCAGCACGTGGAGCAAGTAGCACAAAGTAGAGATGCTGGAGAATCTGTTCTGGTGGTAGCAGGAACATCTAATTCAAAGATTAACCCTTGAAGCCTTCTCTGATCATCCCAGGAAAAATAAATCCCTTCTTTCTGTTGATAGCTTTTTTCAGATACCTAAAGTATCCACTCCGTTTTTATTCACATCTAAATCATGAACTTTGAAGTCCTGGCAGTAAGACTGGTTTTGATTTCAATCTGCTCAGAATCAACATTCTTCTAGTGAGTGTTCTTCACCCATCCTTTGTTTTTCCTGCTCCTTTCCTCTCTTTTCTTATAATGTTTTTGCAAAGGTCCTATGCTTATTCCTTTTTTCATATTCTTCACCTTTAAATTAGAGGAGTTCCTATAGCATCTTACTATGCTGATGGACAATGACGGCAACGGAGTGTCTGGGAGAGGAGACTTGATAATATGGGTGAATGCTGTAGCCACAATGTTGCTCATGTGAAACCTTCACAAGATTGTATATCAATGATACCTTAATAAAAAAAATTAGAGGATTTCTTCTGAAATAGTGTGGGTAAAATTGCAGTATTTCCAGGCTCTCTTTCTTGGCCCTAGTGCATCTCCATATCAGTAGGTGTTTCCAAGGGGTGGAGAGAAGTAGTCCATCTCCGTATCAATAGGTGATTACAAGGGTTGGGGGAGTGAGGGTACATCTGGCCCAGAGAGGTTTGGTGGCACCCATTTTTGCAACCGGGTCACAAGAGACAGGGACAAGCAAAAGTGGACGACCTGCTTGTAACCAATAAATGGGTTTCTCCCATTTTATTTCTCCCTTTGACTGATTTCAGGCTTCAAAGGTAATTTGCCCCTGGCTGGGTACTTATTTTCCCCCAGAGTTAGAAATAGCTGTTAAGATTCATACTGGGGAGGGCCACAGCAGTGGTCCAAGTCATTTGTGATTCTCTCCACTTTGCACTTTAGTTCTTCTTTTATATTTTAAGTTGTTTTAGTCCTTACAATTCCCTGCCAAAAAAAGTAGGCAGCACTAGGCTATATACACAGCTCGGTCTCTTTCCTCCACCCAGCTCACCACGAGGCTTCCTAAAAGATAGCTTGCCTATATCCTTCCATTCATTCTTTCTTATCTTCACCTTGCTGGATATTCCTCAGTCTAGGGAAACAGGTTTCCATTTTTCCAAAGAAAGAAAGGATTACTGGATTACTGTTCCTGAGGGAGTGACACCTACTTCGCTTGGTATTTACAGCTGCACAAACCTCTCAGAGCCTTCCCACACCCTGGTCATCACTACATTTGACAACTCTCCCCCATCCTGTTAAAGTTTGAAGTTCTAAATGTCTCTTAATTTGAAGGAGTCTGCATTTTGCTTCTTATGCACTTTACTGTCTTAAAGTTTATTTCCAACAATAAAAGATGATAGACATATCTTAATTATGCCACTAATAATTTTTAATGTTTTTCTGTAATGTAATATTACACAGATTAATATTTTCTAGTATATGGTAATGTGGTATCTGCCTTATCACACCAAAAATCAAACTAAAGTCCCAGGTGTGTGAATAAGAAGAGAATTATGTTTCTCTTTCAGCAGAGATTGCATATATAATATTAACTTCTCAGAGACATACAGGCCATTAATTGGCATAGGTTATTTATGATGAATGACTTCTGGTGAGGTCTTTAGAGGCATGATAAAACCAAACTGGCCATTTCTAGTCTTATAAATTATTTGACATATGTAGACTTATAAACTAATGAACAAATTTTGCTCATTGCTGGTATTAAATAAAAGTGTTAAAATTTCAAAAATGAAATATTTTGTCTTACCTGAATCTGATTCCGCAGTTGTTCAGCTTCCTGCCTCAACTGTTCCAGTTCACTCATCCTTCAATTTTGTTTACCAAAGAAATTAACTAGGGAAAGCAACTGTTAAAAAAAGAGGGAGAAATTCAGTTCTCTAGTTACATATTAATCTACTTTAAAAATACTGATATAACTCAAATGAGATAGTCGACTATTACTGGAACTTAAAGTTGTTTTGTAATACAGATCTATATCATTTACAAACGGGTTTTATGGAGGATGTGATTGGAGGATAGAAGATAAATCTTGAGTTGCAGTATTTAAGACTAAATTGGTACAAGAGTAGGGTGAAGTGAGAAATACTTGACAATAGTCCAGAGACACCCCCACTTAGATGTCTAACAGGCCCCCAAACTTAATACAGTTGACCTTTGAACAACACAGGTTTGAACTGCATGGATCCACTTACACAGATATTTTTTCACATACACTAGAAAAGTTTTTGGAGATCTGTGACAATTTGAAAAAACATTTTCTTTTCTTAAGCTTACTTTATTGTAAGAATACACTATATGATACATACAGCATACAAAATGTTAGTCAACTGTTTATGTTATCAGTAAGGCTTTGGGTCAACAGTAGGCTATCAGTAGTTAGGTTTTGGGGAAGTCAAAAGCTACATGTGGATTTGACAGCCTGGGGTTGTCAGTGCCCATAACCCCTGCCTTGTTCAAGGGTCAACAGTACTTCAAAACAGAACCACCACTTCCAGGTCTCCTCCACCTTGTTAATGGAAATTCCATCCTTCCAATTGTTAAAGCCAAAAACCTGGGAGCCATCTTCTGTTTCATACACTCCATCTAATCCATCAGAAAAGCATGTCAGATATTCCATCAAAAAAATTTTTTTTCAGGATTTGACCAACACTGATTACCTCCACTTTGACTACTTTGGTCCAAACCACCTGGTCTTTCTACTGCCATTGACCACTCTCCAAGCTATTTTAAATATAGGACTTTTTAAAACGTAAGTCCCTCTTCTGCTTTAAATCCTACCATGGTTTTCCACTCCATTCAGGGGAAAGCCTAACTCTTTTTTTTAAATTAAAGTATCACCACTATACAATCTTATGAACATTTCACATAAACATTGTGTTTTCAGCATTCACCCATATTATCAAGTCCTCACTCCCTCTATTGCAGTCACTGTCTGTCACTATAGTCAGACGCTATAGAGTCATTACTTGTGGAAAGCCTAACTCTTTATCTTGACCTACAGAGCCCTACACCATCTCTTACGCACACCCCTCTGACCTCCTCATCTATCACTCTCTTTCCAACTCTGCTCCAGCTACTCAGAAGCTTCCGCCATGTCCACCAAACACATTAAGTAGGCTCCAGCCTCAGAGTTTTTACCCTTGCTTCTTCTCTCTGCCTGAAATGGCCTTACCCCAAGTGTGCTCCCTTACTTCTGCTCAAATGTTACTTCCTCAGAGAGACCTTCCCTGACAGCACAGGACACCCACCTAAGCCCCTTTCCCTGTCTCTTATAAGGTTGATGAAAGACTCAATACCATCCAGCATGTATTTGCCTATTTGTTGTGTTTCCTCCTGGTAGAATGTAAGATCCTTAAAGCAGGGAATTTGTTTTCTTTGCTATATCCTAGGCATATCCTTGGTCCCTAGGACCAAGGACACTTTCTTCGCCAGTAAATAAAACTAACCTTAAGCTTAAAAAAGTAAGGACAATTTGTTCTAAGGATTTAGGATGAATCACAGAATAAAAGGGCAGAAATATTACCACCTCAGGAAGAGAACAGAGGCTGAAAACTGGTGGTATTCTTTCTCTCCCTGTCCTGTTTTCCTCTTAATATTTTTGCTTTTCCTATTTCTATAGAATAACTTTCTCTACTTCTCCAAGCACATGATTCAGTTTATATCTCCTTGGTCAAGATCAGAGCCCAAAATGACTAATTCCCACAAGTCCAAATTCCAAATTCCCATACTCCAACTCCAAATTCCCTTAAGAAAATACGATTCCCGTAAGAGTTTCTGGAGTTCATCCTTCACTGACTTAAACTATAGTACAAATATTTGTTTATTCTTTCAGGGTTAACTCTATTTTGTCAAATTAAAAAATACACTTATTGGGATTGACTGGAATGACAGCAAATGGCATAATGTAGTTTAAAAAACTGACATTGCAGTATTCCATTTCCAACTTACTGTTGCAATATATTTCTCTATTTATCTAAATTTTCAGCAAAAATGTTGATAATTTTTCTCCTTAAGTCTTAACCATTTCTTCATAAAGTTCTACTGTTTAACAATTTATTGTGTTCCTCAGAAAGTACCAGACTGGTGAGATTATAGCCAAACTGGAATATCATTCTGCCTCCCTGAAGATAAGCAGCATACAGGTTCTTTAGTTGCCTCTGCTGGCCCTTACCTGAGATGTCCCTGGCCCAAAAACCCTAAAAACTGATTGGTTTTGATGCCTCTTTGTTTTCTGGGTCCCAGAAAATCCTGGGTAAGCAGGACAGGTATAAGTCTCTCTTGTTGAGTTGTTAATATACTAAAAGGAGTACTGGGGGCTCTAATGGGTCTGAGAACTTTTAGGACATTCAAAACCAGCTCTCACCCACCCCCTACTCCCTTTCCACCCGCAAAGTCACCCACCTGTGAATGACCCTCTAAGGCCGGGCTTACCTGCAGCTAGCAGCAAGGGTTACTCAGGATAGACTATCATCAGTACCAAGGGATCTTCAGGCCTGGATGCCCAAAAGGATGAAGGTGCATTGAAAAGAAATGGCAAACAAAGAAAAAGCAGTTCCCCTTCCAGTACTCTGTGGGAGAGGCCATGGGCCCCGAGGGTCCCTGCTCACCTACGTTGGGTATGCCAAGAATACAAGGCCTGGTCACTTTTACCTGGGTCTTTTGTCAGGCTGTATAGGGAGCAATCAGCCTTGAGGGATGAGACAATGTCTCCCCACAGGACAAAGGGCAGGCTTGCTTCCACTCACTATGAAGGTGGTTAAGGCCCCACGCTCAGTGCCTCAGCTGTGACACAGACCTAATAATGGTGTGTGTGACTTTCATCCAGGCCCACCTGTGTCACCCCCACGGGGACTGAGGAGCCTGGGGAACCCACACCAACCAACATTAGGCCGTGCTACTCGCTGTGCTGGGATAATAAAGTCCTCTGATCTGACCAAGGAGTCTCATGCTTTCTGTCGGCATTCGTGAAACAGTAAAGGTAAAAATCCCAGACCCTTTGCATTCTCAATGAGAAGGTTCATAAGAGAGCTAAAGAGTCCAATGTGGGATATAGTAAATTTGTGGCAATTCCTGCCTTTTTAAAATTGAGATACAACTGACATATAATACTTTGTACACTATTATGAAAGTTTAAGTTGTAAATGTGTTGATTTGAGACGTTTATATATTACAGTATGATTAACACTGAAAAATTAGGGAACACCTCTATCACATGACACAATTACCATCTTTTTTCTGAGGAGGACATTTAGATCTAGTCTCTTAGTAACTTTGATGTTTATAACAGCGTGGTTGACGACAATCACTGTGCTTTACATCAGATCTTCTGGCTGCACGCTGCACTTCCCTTCTTCTACAGATTAGATTCCAGGTCCAGCACTTCATCAACAATTGTGCCAGTTTCCTTGTTTCCCCAACCGCCCTATTTCGTCACCCTTACACAGACAAAATCACCATCTACCTACTTTCTTTCAGACAGCACTCAAGCAACAAACAAAGAAGTCAAACTGCAAATTCCTACCACCAATCTCGACAGGGCCCTCAAAACTACCTGGCCAACACTATTCAGCTTTTTACTCATCATTTCCACTCCTACGATCAATTATTTCAATTCGTCTGAAATCTCTTCAAGCTTTCAACCTTTCCACAACCCCTCCTGAAGCAGATGATGTTGTCCTGTATGTCACAGAGAAAGGAGAAGCCAACACACAGGAACTCTTTCGATTTCCCACTAATAGATTTACAAACATAACTGACTCATCATATTCTCCTCCTTCCCTTCTATTGTAATAATCAAGTTGACTTTTCCATCATTTGGGCCAATTTCTCCACCTGTGATTTAAATCCTATCTATCCCCACCTTTTCAATAACCTTACATGTCTGAGTATCCCTTTTCTTTTAGTATACTCAACCTCGCACTTTTTCCTCTCCATTGTTTTAGTCTTTTATTAAGAAATACTTCAAAGAGAAAAACAAAAACAGAAATTAGTAATAACGGATACCCATTAAACCTACCATAGGTTTATAAATTGTTAATATTGTTGCTGTATTTGCTTCATTTTTTTGCTTTTAAGTATTTCAAAACCAATTAGACATCAAGACATTTTACTCCTAAATACTGCATATACATCTTCAAAAATATCAAGACGTTTTCCTACAAAACCATAATACCATTAACAAACCTACCAAAATTAACAGTATTCAGTAGCAAATACCCAGTGCGTTTTCAAATTTCCCCAATTATTCCACCAAAGTCTTTTTACATCTGACTGTTCAAATCAGGATCCAATTAACAACTACATAATATACATTTGGTTGTATCTATTAAGTCTCTTTGTCTAAAAGTATCCACCTCCTGCTCTCCTTTTTCCCTATGATAGTGACTTATTGGAGAGACTAAGCCACCTGTCCTTTAGACGGTCCCACATTCTGTTTACTTCTGTACAGTATGGTTTAACTTGTTTCTCTATCCTCTACACGGCCAATAAACTGGAAGGACGTTATATCTATAGCCTAGATGATATTCATGTTCAACACACTCAGCAAGAATTTCCAGGTGACACTGTGGACTTCATATTTAAAGTACGTCTGGGGGACCTTGAGGCTTTTTTTATTCCTCCATAAGTTGAGCAAAGATTGATCAATGTATTCCAGTGTTATCAGCTTAACTGTCTATCATAAAGTTGTAATTCCTCTCTTTCATCCAACAAACAACAACCTGGGGGGAACCTTTAACTTTCAATTGGATTCTTTCTGTCAGGGGGTTAAACATGCTCAAGTCTCTTCCTTAAATAAAATTTTAAAAAAACATGAAATGTGAAATCAAGGAATTTGTCTATCACTTA